TCCCCTCCACCGTCTCCTCCTGGGAGTACTTCCTTCCCCAGGAGGTGGCGTGTGGCTTCGGGAATGACTCCAGAGTGGCTCCCTTGATGGCCCTCAGGGGCTGCAGGTGAGCATCCAGGTCTGCCAGGCCTTAGCAGGTACCTGCAGTGGAGAGGCACAGTGTGGGACAGGCAGGCAGGTGGTGGGGCTGGGCTGGGAGTCAGCGCTGGGGTTCAAGCAGGCTGCTGGGGCTGGCCCAGGGCCACTGCTATAGGACCAAGTGGCCGGAGGCTGGCAGCAGGCGACATAAGCTCCCAGGGTCACTGCAGGATTTTAAAGGGCAGGTTGGGGCAGGCAAAGAGCTGCCCTAGCCCCAGGGCTGGTGAAGCTCCAAGCCCCATGGCCCAGGGGCTAGGCCAAGTGTGATTCCCTGGTGGTGGGGTTGGCATCTACATGCGCACTACTGCATAATAACTACGGTGTGGTTAATTTGCTACCTTCATTTGCAAGTAGCAAATTAACCACTCAGTAGACTAATTGACTGCATAATAAGCATCTGCTTATGTAGCCAATGATGCTTTACCACATAGTCAATCAGTCTACTGCGCAGTAAAGTGTCTAGTGCAGACACGCCCAAGTTAGCCTTAAACTAGCTGTCTCAGGAACAGATAGCAGTATAGATACCCAAGGCAAAGACAGAAGTGACAATAGTTGCCCAGTCTGGCCCCTGAAAGTGTTCTATAGCCATGATCCAACACAAGTGCATGGGTACAGAGCACTTTAAAAGTGCCTGATCCTGTGACAATCTGAACCCTTATTATATGAGAATTCAGATGAAGATTCTCCAAAGTGAACAGCGTTTGTTAATTCGTGTCTGCACAGGCCAAGAGCAGGGTTGGCTGATGCTGCTCAGCTCTACTCCTGGTGCTATTTTCACAATGGGAGAGGGGGACGGGAATGGAGGGAACTTATTCTGGGGGTTGCCCAGCCAGCGCTGGAGGGTGGAGCGGGTGGATTGGAGCCCCCCTCCGAGGTATATAACATATATAACTAGGAAACAGCAAGGATGTTGACATGAAGACAGCCCTCATTACATTTCCCCCTGCCCAACCCAATCATGAGCTTTCTACACAGCCTGCAGTACAAATACAGCAATGCCAGCTTTCATTATTAGACTGTGATTCTCACAGTATTTGGTGTTTGCCTTAAAGCCCCAGATCCTGGAGTCAAGTGATTTTAAGAGAAATCTGAGACCCTCTCAAAACTAGCAGGCTTCTCGTTATTGCATTTGTGGGAACATTAAAAACATCCTTCCTCATGATTCAAGAAACCACACGTTAATAGAGAGAACACATGATGTTGGGGGTCTGACTCAAGTCTTCTTAATACTTGGTGTTGTCAATACTCTGCATGTACTCATGTCTCCATATGGGAGCAGGGGGTGACATACATCCTATGTTTTGAAATATTCAGTCCAGTCAACTGAATCCACCAATTAAATTTGTGTTAGCAGTGCTTGAAAGTCAAATGATATCATTCATCTTTCCATGCTGCCCTCATCCGGCTCAGAGAGAGACCCTGCCATTACACAATAACAGCTGTTCAGCAGTGCAGTCAGAAATCCCTGTCTGACTAAAGAGAAACTAAGAAATTTAAGGACCTCATGGATTAAGTTCATCTCTCTTGAAAACCCACAGAAGTTAAGTGTCACACTTGAGATTAATTTAGTCCACATGTGCAAAGGCCAAATAAATCACTACAAAGCTATGCTACATTTGTTGAAAGATTCCCAACAAGATTCTCACTGTCCTGTTCCCGTCTATATAAAAACCCTCTCTTTCTACCAGTACTTTCACAGCACTTGACTAAGTAGGTTGCTGCCTCCATAAGCTCATGCCTCGTTGAACTAGTTAGTCTAACTAGCCCTACCTTTTGCCTGACTTCAAACAAACAGAGCTAACCACCTCCCAATAATATTTCCCATAAACAGTACTTTGCATTGAAGTATGAGTATCGGGGAGTAAGGCAAACCCTGTGCAGCAGCTGGCACTATGGGGTCCTAACTCATGACTGGGGATCCCAGTCAATCCCAGAGCAGCATTCGACTCTCAATCCTTGCACCTTACTGCACCTATAGTTCAGCTGAAAAAGACCTGCTGATCCACCAGAACCAAGATCCACCAGAGGATGGAAAAACTGATCCTGAAGACCTCTGGAATGATATGAACACTTCTAGCAAGGTACAGAAGGCTCTACCAAATATAGCAATGAACAGCAGGGAATGGAGATGCTGATTCAGAGGAGCTTTGCTGTAGTCATGGAAACAGAATAGGCAACCTGCCAGGAAAAAAAATCAACTCACAATAGATGATTGTTAAGTCTTAATAGGATACTGCATACAAAATACTTTCAAGGAACGTGGGCTTGCTTAATAGAACAAGCAGATAATGTTTTTCACCTGCCTCATGAAGGTACAGCTGCCTACCTTTTGCCCGCTGACCCCAGTGGCAGAAGCACCGTGGGCTGAAAGCAAATGAACTCTCCGAGCCATACTGAAGGCCTAAAACTGAATAGAAAGAACTGAACAGCATATACGTGGGCATGAAGGAGAAGAGAAGGGGTCCAAAGTGCTAAGAGTGTACAGACAAATTGAAATGTACTAAGAAACAAGCAATTTCAGTGAAAAGCCAAAAAAATGAGGATGTCATACCAGAAATGGTCTGACACTTCAAGTGGGTCTGTCAAGAACCAAAGTACTTAAGAGTCAGACCTGACTCCAGAGAGCACTAAAGTCAACAGCTGTCCTCTAGATTTCAATGGGATTAGCACCCCACTCTTCAGGCCTTGTTCCCTATTGCATGTTGAGCTGCTCAGATGTTGATCAATGCTATTGCAAGCTTGAGTTTGGAGCAGTCACACTTTAAAATTAAAAACCTTCTTTGACTGTCTCCCACCTGTACAGCTGTGAGTTGCCACTAGAGGCCTGGCAAGCCAGGACAGGCTTCTGTCTCCTTTATAGGGGTGGCTGCGAGAGATGGGTTTGGGGGGCAGAAACATGAAGCTGGGAGGTGGTGTGTGGGATGGGAATGAATAATGAAATGGGAAGGGGGGCAGGAACATGAAGCTGGGAGGTGGTGTGGGATGGGAATGAATAATGAAATGGGAAGGGAAAAGGAAATGGTGGTGGGGGAAGAGTGGTGAAATGAAGAAAGTCAGCCACTGAAGGATAAAATAAAAAGAAGTAAAAAAAAAAGACTTGGGGAAATAAAGAAGGTCTTGTATTTTAATAAATTGGGATTGGGGTGTGGGGGGTGCTGGTTGTGCTTCCTGAGGTGGCTGAGAGGTGGGAGCAGTGAGGGAAGGCACTTTTGGGGCACTTACTGCCTCTGCCCCAGGAAGGAAGCCCCAGCTCATGGGGACCGAATCCAGCTCACTTCCCTCCCCCAACTCCTGAGACCCCAATCCTGGACCCATCCATGCTCTGTGACCTGGCTAGCTGGCATGTGCCTTGCAGGGTGTTAGCATGGGGTTATACTCCTGAGGTGGAAAAGTCACACCCCCAGGGGCAGGGGTGGGGGAGCTGTCTTGGTGCAAGGCCTGCTCCTAGGACAGTAGAGTTCTGGGGGTGGAAAGTTTGTCCACACTGAACAGGAAGATGCGGGAGGAGACGCTGCATTTTGGGATGCTAGAGGACTGCAGCTTGGGAAATTCATCTGTGGGGAGTGGCTGCATATTAATGCAACATGAGCTGGATAACATGGATCAGAGATAAACCTGCCCGGGAGTGACATAAATTTAAGTGATCTAAAGTGTGCTTAAAACTAGCATCAGGTGTTAACATGTGGACAATCCAGGGATTTAGAGGTCCAGGAGTTGCCTAAAATTATTGTGTAACAAAGCCCTTAGATCATTAAGGCTCACATTTAATGCCAGTGGGGCAAGGATAGTTGTTTTAGGTATTGTTCTAGGAAAAAGATTTATTGAAAGATAACATACCATGGCCCAGTAGGTATGATTCTTTCCCAAGTAACTATCTGATTTTTTTTTTCCTTTTCCTCTTCTTCCCTCTATCTGGTCTGATCCATTGCACTTCATTTTGGGCTTTGCAAACTGCATTGCCTCAGAGAGGTTTAGCTACCTCATGGGTTGTGGATTGAGATGTGTGCTCTTAGGTAGGTTGCACCTAATTCATCAATCACTTCAAGCATCTGGACCAACACTTAACCACCCAGTTGCTGTGGGTAGAAGAAACCTTCTTTGGAAGGGGTAGAGTATGCACCCACCTGCTATTAGAGAGTCTCTCTTTTCTCAGCTCTAGGGATAAGTCTTGCTAACAAAGAGTTTGAGCTGTGTTATATCCTGTAGAAAGATCAGCCGTACTCTGGGCTAGCATGTTAAAAGCCACAGAGAGGGGTGTGGTAATATTAACCTGGAAATTCAGCCATGAGGAGGTCCTTAATAGGCCTGTGTGAAGTGGCTAGTATTCGTTTTGGATTCAGCTGATTTAGGGGACACCAATTCAATTTGGTGATTCGAAGCACTGTCCCGATTCAATTTGACCGAATCTGATTTGGCAGCAGCTAGCTCACCTCCCTAGTCCTTATGGCTTTAAAACACCAAATAAAGTAAGTCAGGACGGAAGTATATGGAGCAAACAGACTTGAGCCACCCCCAATAGCTGACTGGTGGCTAAAACTAGTAGCAGAAAGGGAGATGCTGGGCCCCAGAACAGTTCTGTTCTTGCTATTTGCATTTGGAAGAGTAATGAATCATAGATGGAAAGAACTAGACATGCTCGGGAAGGGTAGATTAAGGTAGACTTTTGCCTATCGGGCTCATTTTAGCTATTTACCAGTAGAACCATTGCTTCTGTTATGAATGAGTCTTCTGTTAGGAAATTAGTAGAAAGTCCCGCATAATACTTAAAAATTAGTAGGCAATCCTCCATTTCAGAACCATTTTGGGTTAAAAGATTATTATTTGTCCCTTTTTGATCCATCAGCTCTAGAACCGTGCTTACATACTCTTAAAATTATTTTATTGGGAGCTACAGATACTTATAGCATAATAAAATTGCATACAAAAAATACACACTGTAATCAACCAAAGTGAGTGACAATCCCCCCCAAGTGCAATGCATGGACTTTTCTTAAGTTTATTTCAGGACTAGTTCGTGGAAAAAAACCCCAAAAAAACAAACCCCAGTCTAGGACTTGCAGCTTTATGGGTCAATTTGGAACCTGCTTGGCCAGCACACAGTTGCCTCAGACCCACATGTAATAAGGATGTCTTTAAAGAAGAAAACCTTCAAAACCCAAGATGGAGCATTTTGTTTTAAATGCAAAAATAGGACACACCTCTGGTACAACTTCCCTGCTGTCTGCCTTCTAGATCTAAAGAGTGTGGCAAAGGACACTGGCTGCTGTCCTCCTACTTTTGAGATGCTTATATAAAGTCACAACTTTATTTAAAATGGCAAATAAAATCTCTTCATCTTAAGAACTTTGACACAAGGATCATTAGCAGGAAAGCAGAGCAAAAAACAAAAAAAATTCAGCCAAGTAGTCACTTTTCATCCAACCCATTCTCTGGTAGGAGAACGGGATCAGAGCGTCTGTTGAATTTTCGTAGACAGCACCCAATGTCAAGTTCAACATCAATGCCTTCAAGCTTTAACTGACATGCTTGGTTGTAGCTGTATTTAAAGAGAGAGAGAGAAAAGTGACTTTTCATGGATTCAGATAGCTTGGAAATCCTCCCATGTGTGTTACATAAACACCATTTTGCACTACTATGCAAGAGCAGATCCCTTCAACATTTTCTCTCTCCCCACCCTCCATTAACATTTAATTTATTCAGTTATGCCAAACTGGCAAGTTTCATTAGATGAGGAGGTCCAATCGTGACATTCAAGGCTGGCAACGCAGTAGTATAGGGTTGCTTATTTATTCCATTTCTATTGTACACTTGAGATCAATGTGTAACAACTTAGAATTATGTGCACATAAAAAACATGGACAAGTTCCTCAGCATATCACCAAGTTTAAATAACTCATCTGCTACTGAGAAATCATGGCTAACAACCCCAGAGAGAAATGGTGTTCCTATCCTGATCTCCCAACACTCAGTCACTTACCAGTGAGAAGCAGCAAAGTTGGCAGCCACGACGAGGAGAGCAGCTGCATAATGCCAGCAGAAGCACACGTTGAGGAACGCATAGACTCCACGGTCGGTCTGGTCCCAGCCTGGCCCTCCCCATGGTGGATGCAGCACAAATCCAATCTGATGGAATAAGAGAGGTGATATTCAGCCTTCTATCACTTTGCACTCTCCACGCTTGCCCTCCTCACTTACTACAGTAGTCCTACTGTGAGAAAGGGGCAAGACATTCACTGACAACAGGCAAAATGCACTGGCCTCACTATCAGACTGCTACTCTTATATTTCCCCTTGGCTTGGCCCTATTTCTTATGCTGGGCTGTAACTCAGAGTGCCACGAATGCAATATGCCTACCGTTAGGATTCTTAATAGTAGGATCTGAGGTCTACCCATCTAACCCTATTCAGATCACCCCTTACTGTCTTCCTTCTGCTCTCACCTCCCAGCCTCTAAGTCACGGCACCAGTGACATTTGGCCACACAAGGAGATTAGGTAGGTTTCTAGAATAAAGGTAGTTTAGAGCTACTAGACTTCAAGGACAGGAAACATGGATCCCACATGTGGTTCCTAACAGATCAGGCATCACAACATGATGCCAGAAGCAGGAACAGGCAACTCCCACTTGGCAGGTAGCAAACCTGTGGTAGTGTCAGAGGGGGCAGCCCTACGTGACAGTGCCAGGGAAGGAACCAGACCCCTGGCATAATCTGGAGGTGCAGAGTGAGGAACCTGCATTTTCCACAGTGCCTCTGAAGAGCAATCCAAGCAGCCTATTTTTCATCAATGAGGCCCCTACTAGTAGCCAACAGGCAGGGCCATCTTAATGCCTATTCATCCTCAGAGCTTGAGAGAGATGCTTCCTTCATGTTGGGATCCAAACTGGAAAGAAGGCAGCAGCCTCCACCAGAACCGGATGGCAGCATTGATTTCAGTACTGAACGAGAGCCAGAGAAGAAGGGATAATCAATAGCCCAGCAGCACAAACTCTTGTTCTCAGACTGGGTGAACTGGGTTCTAGGCCCGTCTTGTCGCAATGGGATCTCTCCCATCTCAGGAAAGCCTGCTGGTTAGTGAGCAATAGGGAAGGCTGGGTGCCTACCCCCTCCTTTTGAAGCTGGCCACTGGGCAGGCAAAAGGGGGCCCCAGTGGGGAGGACAGTCCCCTAGGAGTCCCTATTGCCACAACTCTCCAGAGCTAAACCAAGCCAATCCTGGCAGCAGAGGCCAGAAGCCAGGGCTCCCTCCACATGAGGCTATAGCTTTACTCTGTTCAGATGCCTTAAAAAGGCTTTTAGGGTCTGGCTGTTGGTGCT